TGTTCTACGTCAAAGTAGCATCTGATAGACAGGTGTCTCGGCGAGATATTCGTATTGTTCTGGGTGACTTCAGTGAGCTGGCTATGAGATGTCTGTCGGTCCCCAAGGTTCGGGAGCTGATGCTGGCAGCGAGAATAGCTTCATTTTCGGGGACTTTGCTAGATCCCAGAAACTGAGGATTTCTGGCTTCTGGTACCAGTGCCCAAACCCACATTGTTGGACACTGTACAGCGATGCGGGTAATGCAGCCAAAGAGATCGGCTACATACTTGTAGAGCACTCATTGGAGGATCCTCCAGAACTACAGGGTGTATAGCAGTCCTGAGTTCTGTGGTGCTGATCATAGATTGGTTGTGGCTACCCACCCGGTCCGCTTCAAAACTCCCCAGCGGTCCAATGATCACCCTATGAGCATCCAGCGGCTCTGGATGGATTTTGTAATGAAGCGAAGCCCTTGGATCTAGAGGTCCCTTAGGCCAAGACCAAGGTCCAGGACTTTGGGGACTTGTTAGGAGAACCAGCTCGGTCGGTACGTGCTTGTGGCGAGGGCATTGAAGTCACAGAGAGCTTTACATACCTTGGTAGTGTAGTTCATAACTCTGCGGTTAGACCAAGAAGTCAGCTTGGCAGCAGGGGTCATGAACTCGCTCGATAAAAGTATTTGGAGTGTCGGTACCTGTGAAGGACCAAGCTATGTGTCTCTAAGGCCCTGATATTGCCAGTTTTACTATACGGCAGTGAAACCTGGACATTATCCTGTGTCTTGGAGTCTCGTCTTGATGCCTTTTGTTGTAGGTCCTTGCGCCGGATCAAACGGTACTGTTGGGGGGACCGTGTCCAACCAACGGCTGCACCGTAAGACTGGCACAGGACCAGTTACTAGCACAATCCATGATCGCCAACTCAGGCCATATGGCCACCTGGTTCGCAGGATGATCCTGCCCACCAGATTGTCTCTGTTCGAGACAGCCGTGGGTGGAGGAGGTCTTTGGGACGATTTAGGAAGTCGTGGCTTGGGCAGATCGATCAAACCTGTCGTGAAAAGCTCGAGATGGGCCGAGTCCCTGCCTGGCGGCTTACCATGATGGATCCTCGTAGGTGGAAACAGAGGGTGGATGCGGCTATGCGCCCCCGTCGGCGTTAGCTCCATGAAGTTATACATATATGTATATGTATATTCATATGCATATATATGTGTATATATACATACATATATACACATATATATGTACATATGTATATACATATATATATATATATATATATATATATATATATATATATATATATATATATATATGTATATATATATATATATATATATATATATATATATATTGTGTGTGTGTACATATACATATGTATATGCATATATACATATTTATATATGTATATATGTGTGTGTGTGTGTGTATGCGTTTCCATTGTATAATGCCTGTTTTGCATGTTAAACTTGCTGGTATTTGCATAATGTGTTGTACTTGGTATCTTTTGGGAAACATCA